TATTCCTATACCCCAGTTATTTATGCATGTGGAGAAAAATTGAAGCCCAGCACAGACCCCTTTGGAACACCACTTTCCACGTCTTGCAAACCAGAGAATATCCTCTTATGTGTTTCCTGGCTCACCGCCAATTAATAAGACACTTAGCTCGGCTACTTCTTAGACCATGTGCTTTTATTTTTCCTAATAAACTCTTGTGTTCAACTTTATTAAATGGCTTCTGGAAGTTCATGTGGACGACATCCACAGACATTCCCTTATACATAATATTGCTGACCTCAATATAAATTAGATACGTCAGATATGACCTACCTTTCATGAATCCATGCTGACTCTCTCCTATTAGCACATACATATCCAAGTGCTTAGTCACTCTGTGAGATGAGATATTCGAGTTACTTCCCTACGGCTGAAATTAAGCTGATAGGTCTATTTAACTGGTTTCTTCCTCGCTTTTAAATAATGGGGCGACAAATTTGCAATTCTCTAACCCAAGGCGACAATTCCCGAAGAGCTTTGTAAAGATATAACTAACATACCTCAATTGCCTCTTCTACTTTTTTACTACGTGGTTTGGAGCCTAACATTTCCTGGAGAAACATTCACACTATTATTTTCTCCATTGGCATTGTTTTTATTTATACCATATCTGTTCAGTACGCCTCTTTGGCTTATTTTCAGTTACCATTTTACTACTGATATTTGGTTCTCTTCCTCTACTATGAAAACAGAAGCAAAGTATTCATTGAAAATGCCTTGTATTTCATTATTGTCTTATCATAGTCGAAGCATTTTTTCCCAAGAAGTGCCTCTGCCTATTTCAAAGTGAAATCCCTAGAGTACTTGATAGTTAAATATGCAGCTGCCTCAGAGCTGCCTGGACCCGCTTGTCACAGGTATGAGCTTTAACTCAACAATCTTCATATAACCAGCCATTAGTCCAAGTGGAGCCAGTGGAGTCCTGTAGCTCATTGGTTAGAGCACTCGCTTTGTAAGTGAGAGACCTGAAATTGGCTGCCGCGTTCGCCCACAGATATAGAGTCAATTCACTTTACATTGTGTTCTGTGAAGCGCTTTGGGACGTCCCCCCGACGTGAAAGCGCTATATCAAATGCGAGGGTTATTATTATATAAATCCGAGTTGTTATTGTTGTTGTTTTTGACTGTGTGTGAGAGACAGAGAGACTGTGTGTGAGAGAGATGGAGAGATTGTGTGTGTGAGTTGCCCCTGAATCTATCCTCCTCTGACACCAGCACAAATACTGCAGATCAACATCAGAGAGTCAGGACATGCCCCTCATTCCCCAACTCAGTCAGTGAGAGAGACAGACACAGAGACACAGAAACAGAGACTGTGTGGACATGTGTCTGTCTCTGTGTCTCTGTCTCTCCCTCTGACTACAGCTCCCAGCATGCCCCGCGCGGCTTGGCCCCTTCAACAGAGGGCTCTGAGCCGTGAGGCATGCCGGGAGCTGTAGTTTCCGGGTCTGTGCCGCAGGCTGTGGCTGTGATTGTGACGGCACACAGAGAGAGGGATAGAGAGAGACTGTGACTGATCATCGGCCGCCATGTCCTCTATCTTTAATAATAATAATAATAATAATAAACCTTTGCATTGGATACAGCGCCTTATCACAGCTTCTCGACGTCTCAAAGCGCTACACAGAATAGAAGGTCAGGTGTAGTGGCTGTATATTTGTGTGCAAAACGCGGCAGCCAATTCCGCACAGCAGTTTCCCCACAAACAGTTGTGGATTGCAATGAAAAATCTGATGATTTTGTTGAGATTATTATTAGACTTTTTAGTGATCCTCAATAAGAGACAATAATAAGTGATCAGTGAATAACAATCAATAAATAATGAATAAAAACTATAATACAATGCAGGCATTTGAAAAATTTTCATCACTTTGAATAAACTTTCCCCTTCGCTTTCTCGCTCTCTTCATCCCTCTCTCTGTCTCTCTCTCATTCGTCGCCTCTCTCTCTCTCTCTCTCTCTATGTCTCTGTTTCCGCCGCCATTCTTCCTTCTCTCTAGATTGATCGGCCATGAACGGTGGCTATGCACATGACGTGAAGCCCCTTTCAGGCTGAGCACTCGCTGACCTCAGCACGTCTGTCCACCTTTGTATATGTGTGTGTGCTTGTGCACTTGTAATAATTTGTACAGCAAAGAAACGCACCGCTAACCGCCATGCTGTATGGCAAAGCTTGTCTGTTATTGTGGATTTGGACGTTTGTACATAGACAAGGCCTGCTTTACGTAGACCGGGCTGCTTTACAGAATCCAAGTTGTTATATAGAGGACCGGGCTGCTATACATTGACCAGGCTGTTACACAAACACTAGGTTTTTATACAGAGACCATTGCTGTTATGCATAGACAGAGCTGGTTCACAGAGGTCAGAACTGTTATAGATAGCATGAGCCTGTTGCACAGAGACCAGGCTGTTATACATAGACCAGGCCTGTTATTCGGAGACCAGTGCTGTTCTCCAGTGGCCAGGCCTTTTGTACAGAGACCAGTGATTTAAACAGACATCAGGCGTGTTACAGAGAAACCAGGCCACTTTTACAGGGACCACGCCTGTTAGAAGTGACCAGATGGTACGTACAGAGACCAAGCATTGTGTCGATAGACAAGGCCCGTTATAAATGACTGATGTACACGGAACAGCCTTTTATACAGAGACCAGTCCATTTATATATGGACTCGCATGTTATAACTGGTTTGCTCTGAGGCATGTTACCCTGAGTCCAGATGTTTTCATGCAGAAACCAGGCCAGTTATACACAAACCAGAATTTTATACAGAGACCACGTAGTGATACACAGACCAGGCTTGTTTTACAGCGACTAAGCTTTATACAGAGAGCAGGTTTTAGGTAGCGATTGCGCAGATGTTAAAGATACCAGTGATGTTCTGCAGGCATCAGGCCAGTGTTGCAGTGACCAGGCATCTTATGGAGAGACCTGTCATTTTATACAGAGACCAGGTGTGAATATAAAGACCAGGCCTGTTATACACTGACCCGACTGTTTTACAGGTCATTATACAGAGTCCAAGCTGTTATAAGGAATCCAGGCCAGCTATATAGAGACCAGGCCTGTTATGCAGAGACAATGCTCGTATGCAGAGACGAGGCTGTTATATAGAAACCAGACCTGTATAACCAGACACCTTCAATAAGGGACTAGGCTCTAATATACAGACTATGCATTTTGTACATAAACAAGGACTGTTATGAAGAAACAAGTGTATTATAGAGATTCCCAGGCTGTTATACCGAAAGCAGGCTTTTACACTGATATCAGGCCCATTATATGGAAACAAAATCTATTATAAAGAGGCCAGGCCAGTTATTTCGAAAACAGCTCTTATCCAGAGTCTAGGCCAGTTTTCTTGAGACCATACAGTGTTCAGAACTGTTGTGCAGAGCCCAGGCCAGTTACACAGAGAACAACCCTATTAAACAGAGATGAGGCCTGTTATATAGAGACTGTGCAAGTTGTACAGGAATCAGGCCTGTGATGCAGAGACAATGCCTTTCATATAGAGACCAGGGAGCACTAGAGAGATATTGCTTGCTGTACGGATATCAGGCTGTTATACATACACCAGGCCAGTTATACAGAAAATCATGCTTTTATACAGAGACAATGCCTGTTATATATATACCAGGAAGTTATACCTAGAACTGGCCGTTATACAGTGACCAGTCCTGCTAAACAGAGACGAGGCCTGTTGAGCAGATATCAGGCCTGTTTTACATAGACAAGGCCTCTTATACAGAATCCAAGCCATTATACAAAGGCCAGGCTTATTACATAGAGACCAACGCTGTTCTATAGCAACCAGGTCTGTTATGCAGAGCCCAGGCCACTTTTACAGAGACCAGGCCTGTAATACGATACCAGGACGTATATAAAGAGATCAATCCTTTCATACATAAACAAGGAATGTCATACCAATCCAAGTCGATATACATGCACATGTTATACATAGTTCAGGCCAGTTATACAGGGACCGGATCTATTATACAGAGACCAGAGCTTTTATCCAGTGCTCTTTTACAGAAATCTGGAGAGCTATATAGCCTGTAGAGGTTTTCTATAGAGCTCATGCCAGTTATACAGAGGCCAGGCTGTTATACAGAGACCAAGCTGCTATAAACGGAACAGGTTTATTATCCAAAAAACAGATTTGCTTTAAGGAGACCAGGCCCGTTATGCATAGATCTAGCCTATGCAGTCACCTGGCGTGTTATTCAGTGACCAGACCTGTAAGAAAGAGACAGGACCGGTTGTGCTGAGATCAAGCCTGCCATGTAGACACCTGATGTGATATACAGAGACCAGGATTTAATACCGAGATCAGGTCAGTAATATTGAGAACAGCTCAGTTATACAGAGCAGGCTTGTCTTCCTGCAAGACACTTCCATGGTCTTATTCCTCCCTACCTCATCGACTTCATAACCGCATATCAGTCTGTCTGGTCAGTCCGCTCGGCAGACACCGGCCTGCTTTGGGTCCCCCACAATTCCCGCCCCACCTTTGGAGGTTGCACATTTAGCATTTCTGTGCCCAGACACTGGAACTCTACCGGCATTCCCTCTGCCTCATCTCCTTCAAGTGCCGTCTGAAGGTCTTTGTCGTCGACCCTGCCTTCAATTTCAAAAGCCCTCATTGCCTTACATGGCCCTTCCTCTGCCACCTCCTTCAATCCAACTGACCCGCCCACACCATTCACTCAAAAAACGCCGGCAGCTTCCAATCACCCCCTACCCAACGCAATATCCGCCACATGGTGCTAGATTTCAGCCATTTTATACCTCGCGCTCTGTAAAACAATATCAGAGATACCAGGTCTGTCAAAGGACCTCAAATCAACCTATTTGATGGCGCTGTTTGTCATACTCCCAGCACTCCCCTCCCTAACAAACATGCACTCCAGCCCTCCCCATAGTACAGCGCCTTCCTTGCTCGAGTCTTTTCATTCGAAAAGGGTTTCTCATCCTCTCTTGGGATCAAAGTCACAATCAGCTGATTTCATAAGAATAGACGATAGAAGAGGATTTGTCAGCTCAGTGACTGGGAACCGCCTACACACTCACACTGAAACCGAAACCAGTTTCAATCAGAAAGTGCTGAGGTTCAAAATGGCTTCTAGAATCCCGGCTGAGATCTTGACCGAGGAGATCATTTGCCCGATTTGTCTGGATTTCTTCACTGACCCTGTTAGCCTGAGTTGTGGCCACAACTTCTGTCGCTCCTGTATCACCCGGAGCTGGGAAAAGCAGGAGAAAAACTGCTGTGCTGTTTGTCAGGAGACATTTCCAGAAAAGAACCTCACAGCCAGTTGGGCCTTGGCGAGTCTTGCAGAGAAAGCACGAAAATTGGGCCTGACCCCGACACAGACGGAAAATAAACTTCACTGTGAGAAACACCGGGAGCAACTGAAGCTGTTCTGTGAATCTGACATGAAATTGCTGTGTGTAGTTTGCAGTCATGGGCAGGAACACAGAGGTCACAGTTTCCTCCCCATTGAGGAAGCTGTTCAATTCTACAAGGTAAGAATATACCTGAAGAGGGAGTATATCTATTCGGCTTGATATTTTCACACACAAACACTTTAATTCTGTGTATTTATTCCAGGATAAAGTGAAACACGTCTTAGATTCTCTCACACAGAGGAAGGAAACTGCTCTAAAAGCTGAAGCCAAACAGAGAGAAAAGATTTCACAACTGAAGGTGAGATTTAACAACTGATATCTCAGTTTCTCAATTTACTGTGTGTACACGGTGTGATATCTCAGTGTCTCTGGTTACTGTGTGTATACGCTGTGGTGTCTCAGTATCTCTGGTTACTGTGTGTACACGGTTTGATGTCTCAGTGTCTCTGATTACTGTGTGTATACGATTTGGTGGCTCAGTGTCTCTGTTTACTGTGTGAAATAATTTGATGTCTGACATTTGCAGGAAAAGGTGAAGAGTGTGGAGACCCAAGTCACGGCTGAGTTTGCTAAAATGCACCAGAGTCTGACTGACATAGAGCAGCGAGTGATGCGAGATCTCAGACAGCGAGAGGAGGAGATTTTAAAACGAATGGAGACAAATCTGCGAGAGATTCAGGGCAAATTAGATTCTACTCAACAAGAGCTCTCCGAGTTACAGACGCAGATGAAAAAAGAGGATCTCACCTTCCTGCAGGTAAAGAGGTGACCTTATAATATAGTTCAGTCACAGTTACACACAGTCTGGGGCAGACAATCACAATCTGACTGTTACACAGATCAGTGATGAATTGTTTGTTATATTCTGGTGTGTGTTTTTAAGCAGGTCGCACTGTGAGTGTAATGATTGTTTTGGTGAGCCGTGTGTACAATACATGTGGAAACCCATCAACGTCATTCAGTTTATCCAAACCACACTGAGAATTCCACCCACGCATGAAAATCCCAGAGATAAACGGTTGAGATGGTATGAGCTCTCTCTATCCGAAAGCTCAAATCCTATTTACCTCATTCTGTAATGATTAAGCCCGAGGTTGTCCAGAACAAAGATTTAGGGGGAGCCCGCTTTTTGTGTTCGGTAACTGCTGGAGTCTAACCATCTAAATCCACATACCCTCCAGTTGGGGATTTCGCTGTCGGATTAACAGGAACTGAATGGGAGGATTTCCATCCCCCAGTAAGTTGTCGGCCCTCCCTGGTCCTTCCGATGAGCCAGGCCGGGCTGTGCTGCCATCAGCACTGAGTACCCTGGGATAATATGGCTATAGACCATCTAAGAGGCCTGGCTTCATTCCCATATTTCATTACCATGCTTGTCACCTATGGGCCAGTTCAGCTTCGAGGAGACCCTGAGTACCACACACCCTTTCCCTTGCACCACACACAAGAAGGTAACTTGGGTTTTCGTGGAGCAGATCTGGCCACCCACTTTCTTGTTGCTTTGTATCCGGAAGCCGTGTCGTTTGAGTGAGAAACGTTGCTGTAAATATGAAAGTAAACTGTGTGATGCGGAATTCTATGATGGGTGACTGAGTTTATCATGTCGCGTCTCAGTGTGGGCTGACATCTGTCTGTGTTTGATTTCATTAGGAGGAAGCTGCTGGCAACACAAGGTATGAAATTACCTTTCCAAATATCCCAGAATTGAACCCACAAACCAACCGCAAGGTGCAGTTTCACTTTATAATGTGATTTTGTCTTGTTTCAGGGTCAGTGACGAGGGGTTTGATCTGTCGGTGTGTGAGGATGAGCTGCCTGTGGGGATATACAAAGGGCCTATACAGTACACAGCCTGGAGACAGATGATACACGGCATCAGCCCAGGTAAATGTCTCCCATTCTCATCCTGAAGCCGTGTCAACAGCTTCACATTCACATGGATCCCAACACATACACTCTCCTCTCTCACACACACATATAAACACACACACACCCTCAAACACACCCTTCATACACGCCCTCACCCACACACTCCTCAAAAATACCCCTCACACAGACCAAGCACACGCACCTCAGACATGCAAACTCTCACACACACCTCACGGATTCCTGTAGTTCAGTGTTCAGAGTGCTCACCTAGCAAGCGAGACACTTACTTTTAATCTTTTATCTTTGCATTTGATATAGCGCTTTTCACGTCGGGAGGACGTCCCAAAGCGTTTCACAGAACACACTGTAAAGTGAATTGAGTGTATATTTGTGGGCGAACGCGGCAGCCAATTGCGCACAACAATGTCACACAAACAGTCGTAAATTGAAAATGACCAATTTTTTATTGGTTTTGGTTTTTTGGAGGATTATTATTAGGCTCTGTGTGGAGTAAGGAAACTTGCCCAAGGTTTCGCCCTGACCTGCCTGGAATTGAACCCAAGTCTCTCACTTGCAAAGCGAGTGCTCTAACCACTGAGCTACAGGACTCCACAAATAATCCTTGCATTTGATATAGCGCTTTACACATCTTCTCGACGTCCCAAAGCGCTTCACAGAATATACTGTAAAGTGAATTGACTGTATGATTGTGGGCGAACGCGGCAGCCAATTGCGCACAGCAATGTCCCACAAACAGTCATGGATTGAAGATGACCAATTTATTATTGTTTATTGTTTTGGAGGGATTATTATTAGGCTCTGTGTGGAGTAAGGAAACTTGCCCAACGTTTCGCCCTCTGCCTGGAATTGAACTCAGGTCTCTCGCTTGCAAAGCGAGTTCTCTAACCGCTCGTACCATCGACATCAGGCTTCAATTCCACGCAAGGTGAAACCTTGGACAAGTTTCCTTACACCAAACGACTGACAATAATCACTCCAAAATGAAAACAAATAATAAATTGTTCTTTTCCTTCCAAGTCTGTTTGTGGGACATTGCTGTGCGCAATTGGCTGCCGCGATTCGTCCACAAATATACTGTTAATTCACTTTACGTTCTATTCCTTGTACTTCGTTGAGACGTCGAGAAGAAGTAAAAAGCACTATATCAAATGCAATGGGTATTATTACTTCTGCCACATACACACATAGCTCTCACACATACGCCCCTCACATACACATACCTGATACAAACACCACTCATACGCACCACTCAAACACACACCACATACACACAACCCTCACACACAGACCACTGACACAAGCATTCCTCACATGCGCACCTCGCACACCAAATACCCTCACACATATCTTCACACACATCACTCAAACAAACCTCACACACACCCATCACTTACACACCTATTCACATACCTCACACACATACACCACCCACACACTTCCCTCATATAATAATAATAATCCTTGCATTTGATATAGCGCTTTTCACGTCGGAAGGACGTCCCAAAGCGCTTCACAGAACACACTGTAAAGTGAATTGACTGTAAATTTGTGGGTGAACGCGGCAGCCAATTGCGCAAAGCTGTGTCCCACAAACAGTCGTAGATTGAAAATGCCAATTTAATTATTGTTTTGGTTTTGGAGGGATTATTATTAGGCTCTGTGTGTAGTAAGGAAACTTGCCCAAGGTTTCTCCCTGCCTGGAAGTGAACTCAGGTCTCTCACTTGCAAAGCGAGTGCTCTAACCACTGAGCTACAGGACTGCACAAACACACACACACAACCTAGCACACAATTTCACACACACCCTCAGACATACCCTCACACAGAACCTCACACACTGCGTCAAACAATCCCACACACAGCCTCACACACACATCCTGTCACACACTCTCACATACTCACACTCACACACACTCACTCACACCCAGACACATACTCTCACACAGAAACTGACAGACACAGCATCACACAGACGCTCACGCACACTCATATCCACACTCACAGAACCTCACACACACCCTCACACACATCCTGACAGAAGCCCTCACACAGATGCGGACCCACACACCATCACGCACCATCACACAACCACTCTCATGCATCTTCACACACGCCTTCACACTCACACACAACCTCACTCAGATCCTGACACATACAAACCATCACAGCCACACCCACACACCCTTTACACACCCCTTCATACAAACCCTTACAAACACACCTTCACACAACCCCTCATACACACCCTGACAAACACACTCACGCACACCCTCACACAACCACTCACACACACACACACACATAGACCCTCACACAAATTCTCGCACAACACCACACACACAACACTCTCACACAACTTCACACACAATCATCCCCCCCTTTACACACTCACATACACACAAACAACCTCACACAGACCCGCTCACCCTCACACACCATCACACATACACCTCAACCACACACAAGCTCACAAAAACACTCACACACACAACCTCACACGCACCATCATACACATCCTCACACACACGACTCAAACATACAAATTCACACACCCTCACACACCCTCACGCTCACACACACTTTCACAAACAGCCCTCACACACATTATCTCTCCCACCCCCTCACACACACCCTCGTATACACCCTCATACACACACTCATACAACAAGTCTTACAACCACACTCACACATATTTTCTCTCACACCCTCTCGCACCCCCACTCACACGCACCTCACACACCCTCACACGTACCCTCATGCACACCATCAAACACATACCCCCAAACACACCCTCACACACACTCACAAACACAAACATCACACACAACCTCACAAATACCCTCACACGCACTCACGCAAACAACATCACAAACACCCTACTGCAACCACTCACACAAACCCTCATACACAATCTCATACATACCCTCATACGACAAGTATCACAATCTGTTACACACAAGCATCCTCACACACTCCCTCATACCTTCTCACACATACCCCCCCCACACACACATTCTCACACATACCCTCCCACACACCCTCAATCAGACACCGTCTAATACACCTCACACACACACACTCACAAGCACACGCTCAAACAAACACATACACGCCCTCACACACACTCACACACCCACGAACACACACGCACTCACACACACACATACATCTCATATACTTCCCTCTCGCACACACACATACCCTTCATACACACCCACACACATAACCTTGCACTCACCGCCTCTCCCCCCACCCAGACAGACTCTGACCCTCTGAGCTGGATTGTGTCCCCGGGTGTAGATGTGTTCACACATATTCTGTGCTCCCAGACGTCCCCTCACTCCACTTTGTGTTGTTTCTCTCTCTCAGCTCCGGCCTCTCTGACTCTGGATCCTGACACAGCGCATCCCGAGCTCATCCTGTCTGAGGACCTGACCAGCGTGAGACTCGGAGACACACGGCAGCAGCTCCCGGACTCCCCGAAGAGGTTTGATCCCGTTGTCATTGTCCTGGGGTCTGAGGGCTTCACATCAGGGAGACATTACTGGGAGGTGCAGGTGGCCAACAAGACACAGTGGGCAGTGGGATTGGCCCGAGAGTCTGTCAACAGGAAAGGAAAGATCACAGTGACACCAGAGGATGGATACTGGGCTGTGTGGCTGAGAAACGGGGATGAATATAAAGCTCTGACCTCACCTCCCACCCCCCTGACCCTGAGAGAGAGACCCGGGAAGGTGGGAGTGTTCCTGGACTATGAGGGGGGAGAGGTGACATTTTACAACGCCGATAACATGTCTCATCTCCACACTTTCACCCAGACTTTCACTGAGAAACTTTATCCATTCTTCGGTCCCGGTTTGAACGACGGCGGCAAAAACTCTGAGCCTCTGAGGATCTGCCGAGTGACAGATTGATGAGGAGGGAAACCCTCAGCCATGACCTGTGTTTGGCGGTGATGGCCACGAGGCTGAACCTTTTATAATGTGTGTCGCTATACAATAAAGCTTATAGTTTATGTTATACCTTTCACACTGTGCCCACAGCTCACAACTTTCACGATGTACTCCCTCTCTCTTTCACTCTCAGTCAGTCTCTCTTTCTCTCTCTCTCTCGCTCTGACACTCTCTGTTTCCATGTCAGACAGACAGAGTGAGTGTGAGAGAGAGAGGCAGTAAAGGAGAGTGTCTCTGTGCCTTTCTGAAGGGCATTGGCGGCCATCTTTGTTAATGGGTTGGGGGGGGGGGGGGAGTCAGGTGGTGACGGCCATCTTGCTAACGGTGATGAGATCCGGTCGGTAACGTCATGCGTGTGACGTCAGGAGCCTGGCGCCCGCCATCTTGGTAAAGGCGGCTGGACTCAGACTGTGACGTTGTGTGCCTGACGTGAGAAATCTGGCGGCCGCCATCTTGGTAAAGGCGGGGGGAGCCGGGCAGTGACGTCGTGTGACTCACGTAGTGGGCTGAGCCGCGAGCCGCCGAGCGGCGGGGACGCTCGGGACACCCCGGGTAAACCGAGCGGGAGCCGCGAGCAGCGGAGGGAGAGGGCCGAGGGTGTCGGGGACAACAGGACGCGGACGGGCACCGACGGGATGAGATGTGGTGAAGTCACCGCCTGGTCACCACGAGCGGCTTCAGGCCCCGCCCACCTCCGACATTGAAACGTCACTCAATGGCGATCAGGTCTCGCGCTGTCGGACGTCACTTCCGGTCGCCAATTCGGAATGCCGCCCGGGTCGAGTGATGAGAGTGACGTGACTTCCTGGCGGCAGTTTCAAACCCGCGAGGTTGGCGCAAGTCTCCGCCATTATCCTTCTGCTGCCTTGTCCTTCCTCTCCTCCCGTTCTCTGGCAATTCAGCCATGACCGCCATCCCCGTCCCCCCCATACCCCACCCCCGCGATGGCTTCTTTAGCCCACGGGCTGACACTGTCCCATTGATCCCTCGCTCCCCATCTCTGCCTGGAAATGCTCCTCCTCCTCAGCAACCCGCCCGCCCTCCATCCGCTCCTCCCATGATGGCCTTCACTCCCACCGCACTCCCTCCCTCCCACCACCCCTCCTCTCTCTCGTGGACCACACCGTGACCTCCCTCTGCTCCAGAGGTGGCAGCCCCCTCCCAGTCCCGTCCTGTCCCAGAGCAGCAGCCCCAACTGTCCCATCGCTCACTCTCTCACTAGCCACCAGCCGCCTCCGACAGTCAATGATGCCTCCCATTCCCTCAGCCACACCTTATGAATAATAATAATAATAATAATCCTTGCACTTGATATAGCGCTTTTCACGTCGGGAGGACGTCCCAAAGCGCTTCACAGAACACACTGTAAAGTGAATTGACTGTATATTTGTGGGCGAACGCGGCATCCAATTGCGCACAGCAATGTCCCACAAACAGTCGTAGATTGAAAATGACCAATTTATTATTGCTTTTGGTTTTGGAGGGATTATTATTAGGCTCTGTGTGGAGTAAGGAAACTTGCCCGAGGTTTCGCCCTCTGCCTGGAATTGAACTCAGGGCTCTCACTTGCAAAGCGAGTGCTCCAACCACTGAGCTACAGGACTCCACTTCACCATATCTTAAGCAGCCAAAGCCCTGATAGCTAACTAGATAACTAACTGACTAACTAACTAACTAACTAACTAACAGGAAGGTTGTCCTTGGAGTGGGACGGGCTGAAGCTCCAGCCCTGGTGTCTCTCCCAAGCACACGCTCAGCTCACCCTCATAACCTCATCGGCATTCGCACACACATGTGTAGCCACCGGAGTGTACATGTGCGCACCTCCGCAATTAAATATGTGGCCAACGACATGTTCATGTGTAGCCACTGGCGTGTCCGTGTGAGTGCTCACACGCCTCCCCACTTGGGAGCAGTTGGTGCACACACGCGGGTGAGCATTCGCGCTGATGTCACCGTTGTGGTTTTGCGCAGCAAAGGGATAAAGGAAGAGACATTTAGAGTAAAAGCTGCTGCAACATCAGCGGACTAATTCCTGAATTTGATATACCGCCTCGTACTTTCTTGGAGTCGTCGGAAAGCTCCTCACACAATAGATTGAAGAGTAAATTAACTGCACTTTTTATAGGCGAAATATTGTTGAAAGACATTTTCTCTGTGTTTCTCATAATGCAATCCCTTTTTTAACTGTCTATGACTTGTTACAATACAGCCTTTCGCTGGGTTCCTTACGTTTGCTTTCAAAGATTGTTGAAAAACTTTTGCTTATCGCCCTGTTGCCGCAGGTGACATACAGTCACTACACTTTACTGTATATTCTGTGAAGCGTATTAAGACGACTTTTTGTTGCTCTACAGCAATGTATCAAACTTCGGATTATAATGAAGCTACCATTATTGAAATGTAACCGTCATATAATAATACAATTAACTTTAATAATATATTCATTTAATACAGCGCTTGATAACGTCTTCAAGACGTCTGAAAGCGCTTCACAGAATGCAGTGAAGTGAGCTGACTGTATATTTTGTGGAAGAAATACAACATCCAATTGCTCTCAGCAGTATGTCCCCACAAACAGTTGTGCATTGAGCGATCATGGATTGTTTTAATGGATA